GAAGTCTTCGTAGTCTGGAGTTCGTTTTTCCTGAAATGTCAGTACACACAAGAGCAAATACAATTCTTCTAAAAAAAATGTTAGGAGATAACTACACATTTGAACAATAATGTTTGGAATCATCAAAACTTCATAAGTTGCAAAAATGTAAAGCATGCAAATAGCAACTATCTTAACAAAAAGTTTTCTCAATCTTCTATAATTACTCTCTCTCTTCTCGAGTTGTATAAATTTTGGATACAAAAATGGATTTGTAAATTCTTTGAGTGTTGGGGATATCCTATTTTCCTCGAGAGCTTTTATTTCAATCTAAAAAATGTAGTTATATCTTCCAACATACGATTAATATAATTTAACCAGTATTTTTTACTCTCTAACTCATCCTTAAAATATTTAAATTATTTTTCCAGTTTTATATAGGTTGATTTTAAATTTTCATTAGTCTTATTTAAATCATCGAACTCTTCAAGTAATTTTATGTGGTTTCTATCAATTAATGCATGATCTTTGCTAAGGATCTCGTATTCTTTTTGCAATTCTAGAAGTTCTAGTTTAATACTAGCTTGCATTTTCTTTAGCTTCCTATATGCATCATGTATTCTTTCAGAGACTTCAATAAGTTTAGGATAAGTTAAGTCACATACCTTTTCTTGATTTGATTAATTAAGATTATCAACCATCAAGCATAGATTGGTGACTTTCTCTTCTTTTTTAGTCTCTAATGAATCTGAAGCCGAGTCTGCCCAGAAAGCTCTTTGGAATTTCAGCTTGCCCTTCTTCACAATTGGTTTCTCCTCTACCTTCTCCTTGCTAGGAGTGGCTTTGAGTTTTGGGCAATCTGACTTAATGTGTCCAAGTTTCCTTCACTCGTAGAAAATCACTTCATTAGAAACCTTAATATTCCTATTAAACTTACCTCGGTTCCATTGCTGGTGTCTCTTTTGCTTCCTCTTCAGAAAGCTTTTGAATTGTTTAGTCATTAATGCTATGCCATCCTCATCCTCAAGTTGTGATAGATCACTCTCCGACTCCTCTACTTTTAGTTATATATTCTTCTCCCTTCGTGTTTCTCCTATATCAATCTTTCTTTGACTCACTCCTTGCTCGTTAGCAATTAGTGATCCAAGAAGGTTATCAACATAGTAAAAATTTAAATCTTTAGACTCTGATATAGTAGTAATTTTTACATCATAAGTAGTAGGCAAACAATGGAGAATCATATTAAACATTTCAGCATTTATTAATTCCCTACCTAGTACATGCAAAGAAGTGACTATCTGAGTGAATCTTATGTACATGTCAAAAATAGATTCATTTGGTTTCATATGAAACAATTTATAGTCATGCAACAAGATGTTTAATCTAGACTATTTAACTTCATTATTCCCTTCATAAGTTATACAGAGTCTATCCCATATATCCTTTCCACTCTTGCAAGTGGATACCCACATGTAGTCCTCTGACTTAAGTGCATTAAAGAAACTATTTAAATATTTAGCATTAAGTTATGCTAAGTCACGTTCTTCTACAGTTTAATCCGCAAAGGGTGTTTCTACTCTAATTCCATTAACTAGTCTAGTTCATTTTGTATACCCTTCATGTACTAAGATCCACATGCAATAATAAAGTGACTGTAAAAATGTTGACATTTTTCAAAAATCAAAAGGGATATTATCAAACAAAGGAGGTCAAGTGATCAAATACCCTTCAGGTGTGTTTCAGTTTGCAAAAGTAGCCATGTTCATTAATTAAAAAATGGTTTAAACTTATGGTTTTGAAATAAAGCTCTGATACCACTTGTTAAAACTTGTTGAATATGAGTTAGGTTGTTAGACCTAAGTTTATGTCCCAAAAGCTAACCAAGAGGGGGGGGGGGGGGAATTGGCAATTTAAAAATTTCCCTCTTTTTGTAATTTAAAATTCAAAACTGATTAAAAATTGAGCAAGTTGATTTTTTTGTTTTCAAAAATAATTTTTCAACCATAGAAAATAAAAAAAAAATTAAAGGAAGCAAAAATAAAAAAGACACAAAGGTTTATAGTGGTTCAGTCAAACACGACCTACATCCACTCCCTGATCTCTCCCACTTCAGGTATTGCACTATTACCACTAGTGTCTCTCCTTTTGCCCCCACAACAAGACGGAGAAGCCTTCATAAAAACTCTCTTCCACCACTAACCAGTGTGGCAGAAATACATCATCCTTTTACATCCTCCAAGTGTTGGTAGAACCTTTCGTTGTTCACACTCTCCAAGTGTAGGCAGAGAATCTTTCGCTGTTCACACTGTCCAAGTGTAGGCAGAGAACCTTCGGCTCTTCACACTCTCCTTGACTGTTGGCAGAGAACTGGATCTTCTTAAAAGATCTTTTCATTAAAAATCTGAAAGGATAAGAGAAAAGAGAGAAGAAATCACAAAGTAAACATAGAGATCCTTACCTTTTAGTAACCAAGTAGGTTTTCCTAATTCTATTTTTGTTAGCAAAATTCTAGAGAGAGGAGGCGATTTCAAAATTCTTTTGGCGGACGGAGTATCTGAGTTCAATGACAGTGGATGAACGCCGGCTAAACGATAGTGATTATCCTAATAGAGATCATCGCTCATCAGCTGACATTCAAAAATGATTCCTCAAAAATAAATCACCTCCAGTGTTTAGAGAATCTTATTATGGAATTGTTTCTAAAACAGGTAACAACAGATCAAGGTTCTCATCAATATTTGCCAAGCCACTGGTGATTAATGAAGGCTGTCTCTTGAATGTCAAACTGAGTCTAGTAATTGGTAAAGGGAAGGAGATTGCAAATTCTGATAATGACAAGAGCCAGATTAATCAGCCTGGGAAGATGGAGATATTGAATGAGAACCAATACGAGTTTAACAATGATACAAATGGTAATAATAAGATTGAGAAGGTTAATTTTGTAGATTCTAAAGAAATTTCAGTGGTACATGTTTGTGATAATGCTAAAAGAAGCCATGTCATTCCTGAAATTATTGAAGCTGGAGAGTGCTCGACGAAGGTTCAATCAGGGAATGAGTTGCTGAATGCTTGGCAAAAAAAAATCTCATAAGAAGATCTTTGATTCTGATTGGAATTTTCGGAATTGTTTCTCTTAAGATGGTTTGACGGTCCAGTTACATGAAGAGAAGGTGATGGAGAACATCAAAGAGTTGAAAAATGCTTTAGTGGTTAAAGCTTTCGGAGCGAACCTCCCATTCTTCATTATCAATGCTGAGCTTAAGAGACAATGGGCTCAGTTTGAAAAATTCAAGAAGACTTGGCTTGGTAAAGGGTGGAGTTTGTGCTTATTTGAAAAAAGAAGAAGAAGTGGAATCAATTCTTGCAAATGGGCCATGGTATGTAAAGGGGAATATAGTTGGTGTGGACAAATGGAGTCAAACATTCAATCCAAATTCCTTGAATGGTTTAACAACACCGATTTGGTTAAGAATGCCAAACCTGCCACTCCATTGTTAGGATCCTATAAATGTTTGTAGGATTGCCTCAAAAGTTGGGAAACCTTTTTTACTTTATGAAAAAATGTTCCAATGGATTAGACGTGAATTCGCTAGAATTTGTGTTCAAATTCAACTTGAAAAATCACTTCCATTTGGAGTTTGGGTCAAAGGGAGTTTAGGAAAATTCTTTTAGAAAATAGAGTATTAAAGAGTTCAAATATCTAATTTTGTTGTGGAAAAATTGGTCATGAGCAAATCAATTATCATGATAATAATGCTGTATGGATAACTAAAGTTCTGGAGGAAGTAGTTTTCAATGGGGAAGAGTGAGATGCTATTTTAAACAAAGATAGAAAAAAAAAAGAAGTTTCTAATACTGAAGGTGACGGAAATGGTCCCTGGTGTTGCAGATTTGGTTTCATGAATTATTGTTTTGATGATAGCAAACAATATGACTGCCTTTTCTCTACTAGCTTTTCAGGACACAAAGATCGGACGAAAATCGAAATCACCTCAAGACTGGGTAGATTAGGGCTGAGTGTGTCTTGTAATTTTCTTTTTCCCTTTCTTGAGTCAATTGTAAATATTTGAAGTGACTGATGTTAAGTAACCCTACACACACACACACTTGAGAGATTTAGAATTTGTGTTTTTACTCACATCGTCCCGGACAATATTTATATCATCCTGGACGATCGAGTTCAAAATAGAAGTTCTAATCAGGATTTCATAGTTAAGGCAGCTGTATTTAACTTATCAGCCTGGATAATACTTTTATTGGCCAGGACGATATGCTCTAACAGAAAGAAATAGCCTCCATAATCAATTTAGGTATTGTGTATTTTTGGAAATTGGCCAGGATGATCGTGAGATCGGCCTGGATGATATGGAACAATTATGCCTAAATTGATCCGGAAATTAAGGAAGAAATTAAGGATGATTGATACAATCACATCATCTTGGACGATCGCAGAAACGGCCAGGATGATATATTCAAAAACCCTTAGTTACTCCTGGACGATAACTATCGGCCAGCTCGAATTCAGGGCGATGCTCTGGACAATTTTCCTTTGATTTGAACTAATCGTCCGGGACGATCGTGAGATCGGCCTGTACGATCAAGCCAATTTTCAATCATCCAGATCATCTTCATAGCGATGTTCTAGCCGATCATCTTTGTTTTGAACTAATCGTACATGATGATATTATTATCGTCCTGGACGATAAAGTCGGAAACTTGTAATTATTGAGCTCCTTTGAAGCTCTTCTATTTAAGAGCTATTGTTTAACATTTTTTCAAGATCCTTAGCTGCTGTCTTGACCTGAGAAATCTTAAAGGAGAGAGAGAGAGAGGGAGAGAGAGAGGATCTTGTGAGGGGGAGCTTGTGAGGGAGCTCACAAGGGGTGCTCCAAGCATTGTTCCACTTCTTCTTCCCTAGAGTCTCTTGTCCTTAGAAGGGTTTGGAGAGGTAAGCTTTAGCAATCGATCGAGGTTCTCTGCCTGCTTCAGGAGGAAGCAAAAGGAGTTGGGTTCTCTGTCTTACCGGGTGTGGCAAAAAGGAGGTGTTTTGTAAGGGCTTCTCCGCCTAGCTATGGGAGCTAAAGGAGAGTCACGTTGGTAGTGCAATACTTAGAGGGCACCTCCGGGGAGTGGATGTAGGTCAAGTTGACCGAACCACTATAAACCCTTGTGTTCTTTTTACTGCTTCCACACTTTAATTTTTCGCACTTATTTTTTTGTGGTGATTTTGGTTTGTGATATTTGTTCTTAGTTTTAAAGAATTTTTAAAAATACCAATTCACCCCCCTCTTGGTTAGCTCTGGGACTAGTTCATAGGGCCTAACATCCCTAACAAACTTTCACCTGGATTCACGTCAGCTATGGAAGGAGGTATGAAAATAGCTTTAGAGGAAAGAAAATTGATTCAGAGAAAAAAATAAAACTTTAGAAGATCTAGTCAATGGATAAAAAAGGAAACTATGGAGAAGAAGGTGGAAGGCTCCAAAGAAACTGTGAGGGATGAAGGGATTGAACTGGTTCGAAAGGTTGATCCAATCCTAGATACCAACATTTCTCTAGAGATTAATGAAGATGAAACATCTACTAAAGTTCTACTAGGTGCTAACAAATACTCTGTTCTTACTGATCTAACAGAGTTAGAAGAGATACAAATGATTGATGGAAACATAGCTGAAGCTGATAGAATGAAAGGAATAGATGATACATAAGGTATAAAAATGTATCCATTGAGCAAAGTGGATAAAGGAGCCTATAATCAGAAAGCATATGGTGGAAAAATGATTTGGAAGAATTCAAAGATGGGAATTCATCTAACATAAAGATTAAGCTTGTCAAAGAGCTAAGAAGTCTTGGTCCGATAAAGCTTATGCCAAGGGGAAGGAAACTGGAGGTTGAGGTGAAAGATAAAAAGGGGAGCTCATCCCCTTTTATTCCATAATGGCGTCCATATTATTTTGGAATTGTAGAGGAGCTAGAAAGAAGCAAGCTTCTCTATACCTTAAGGAGATGGTGAAGGACTATAAGGTGTTCTTTGTGGGACTTTTAGAAACAAAAGTCTCTAATTTCAGCAAATCTGAAATAGAAAACTTAATTGGAAAAGATTGGAACTTTTTTCAAGTTCCTGCTATTGGGTTATCTGGAGGGATAATAGTATTGTGGAAATACAAGTTAGCTTCTTTTACTTGTTTATCTTCTTCTAATCAAGTTATCATAGGGGACCTGGAAATTATGGAGAAAGGTAGATGGAGAGTAGCAACAGTGTATAGAGGTAAAGATACGATTCATAGAAGACTCATTTGGGAGAAGCTAAAAGAATTCAGATCTAACAATATTCCTCTTTTATTGAGAGGAGATTTCAATTGTGTTTTGGCTAAAGAAGAGAAGAAAGGAGGAAGACCTTTTCAATTCTCTCAAGGGCCTAGAGAAATGAGTTCATTCCTTGCTAGAAGTGGTCTACATGAGGTTAGTTTCATTGGACCAAAATTCACTTGGTGCAACAACAAAGATGACAATGCTAGAATTCTTGAAAGACTAGATAGATGCAATGCTAATTCAGTTGCTTTGAAGAATAATCAGATGGTGTTGAGACACCTTTCAAGGGTTGCATCTGATCATAACCCTATATTATTGAATTTTTTGGAAGAAAACTTTGTTTCAGATAAGATCATAAGGTTTGAAGAAGTCTAGGCTTCATATCCAGCTTCCTTTGGGGTGGTTAAAGCAACCTGGAGTAAGAAGATTAATGGTAATTCTGCTGATGTCTTAAACCACAAGTTTAGAAAATCTCTTAAAGCTCTCTTTTACTGTAGCTTAGCCAAATTCAAAGAATTTGATAAGCAAAAGGAATTCTTGAAAGGAAAAATCTTGGAATTACAGGTTAAAGAATCAGATGAGGGATGGCTCTCTAATGCAGAAATATTCACTCTTCGTTCTTATATTAATGAGCTAAATTATGTTTTGGCTCGCTTAAACACTTGGTGGAAACAAAGAGCAAAAGTAAGATGGATGAAGGATGGTGATAAGAATTCTGGTTTCTTCTACTCTTTTTCTTCAGCCAAGAAGAATTAAAATAGTATCTAGTATTAAAAAAGATGACAGGTCTTCTACGAAAGACCAAAATCAAATTTCTGAGACTTTTTTAAAGTTTTTTAGTGGTAAATGGAGAAAATGAGAAGGCTGATTGAATGGATGGCTAGTTAGAAACAACTCACTGGATGAAAGTGATAAAAGTTGCTTAACCAAAAACCTTACATGGGAAGAATTGGAGATGGCTGTACTGCAGAATTTGGATGGCATAGCTCCAGGTAATGATGGAGTTTCATACTCCTTCATGAAATCTTATTGGAACATTATAAAGGAGGATTGTTGGAATGCAGTAAACCACTTCTTCACAATGGGAGGAATGAATGTTGAGTGTTAAGAAACTCTACTAGTTCTAATTCCCAAGGTGTTGGAACCTACTAAACCAAGTCACTACAGACCTATAAGCCTATGTAGATCCATTTATAAGGTTGTTGCAAAAATTCGCTGAACAGAATTAAATCAATGATTCATAAATTAGTATCTGTGGAGCAAGCTGTATTTATTAATGGGAGGAGCTTGGGAGATCACATTCTAGTGGCTCAAGAGGCTTTTTAGAAGCTCAGGACTTTTAAATTATCCAAGGGCTTGGTTTCATTCAAAGTGGACTTGGAACAAGCCTATGATAGCATGAGTTGGAATACTCTTAATAGTATTTTGGAATACTTTGGATTTCTAGATAGATTCTCTAGGTGGATCATGGATTGTGTGGAAGGTCTAAGAATTTCCTTAATCATTAATGGTAAGATTTCAAGATGGATTCATGTGGAGAGTGGCTTTTGACAAGGGTGTCCTCTATCACCATATCTATTCATTATATGTGCCCAGTTATTGACAAATCGTTTCAAACAAAATAAGGTAGCAAAGGGAATAGTAATTGGTAGAAATTTGCCTAAAATTTCTCACCATTTATATACATATGACATTGTTATTCTTTCCAATGCTAACATTAAGGAAGTGAAAGAAATAAAATCAGTAATATTGTAATTCTGCAGCTGGACAGGTCAAAAGGTTAACCTTCAAAAATCTGTGATGATGTTTGGAAAGCACGTAAAGAGAAGAAGGAGAAAGGCCATGGAAAGAATTACGGGCTTTAAAATAGTAAAATAATTCATGTATCTTGGAATCAAAATAGCTTTGAGAAGACTTACAACTGCAGATTTCAGATTTATCACAGAAAAAGCTATGAAGCTAATAGCAGTTTGGGGCAGTAAACAATTATCTCTGGCTGGAAAAATTCTACTGATTAAAACAACTCTAGATACTATTCCAAATTTCTACTACACTTATTCCTTAGTTCCAAAGAGTATTCTAAAAAATATAGAGAAGTTTTGCTATGATTTTATTTGGAATAAACAAGATGGAAGCTTGGGTTTACATTTTGTTAATTGGAATAGAATGTGTAAACCAAGGGAGAAAGGATGAAGAGGAATAAGGTCTTGCATTGAATCTGCGAATGCTTTAAGAGTCAAATTGGCTTGGAAAGTATCTCAAGATAAGGAATCTCTGCTATATAAAATGTTGAATCAAAAACATGGGCAATGGATGGAGGATTTAGTAAATGGTGGAGGATCGTCAACAACTTATAAAATCCTTGCTACTGGTAAGAAAGCTCTTAAAACAGTGGTGAAATGGGAATTAGTAAATGGTGTTTCTATCAGCATTATGGAAGATATCTGAATATTAGATAGGAAGTTAAGCTTATGGCCTACATTTGTATCTATACAAGAAGCAGGTGATAACAAAGTAGAGAGCTTGATTCATAATGGTGAATGGAACATGTCAAAGCTTAAAAAAATGTTTGGAGTTGAACTTATAAAGGTTATTCTATTGATAGAGATTCATTCAGATAGAGATTCTGACTTTTTAGACCTCATCTATCAGAATTTTGGAGCTATAATTTCTGCACTTGAAAGCAAGAGATCAAACTTGCAGGAACAAGAAAGCTTTTTCTGGTAATGCTTGAAGAAGACCAAATTAAATGCCCATATTGAAACCTTTTGCTGGAGATTGTTCAACAATGCTTTACCTGCATATAGTTTCTTATTTCGAAGAAGAATGCAAGAGGATGAAAGCTGTCCTAGAAGATATGGCCAACAGGAAAATCTAAACCATATTACGGTAAACTGCAGTAAGTTAAAGGAAGTACTTAATTATTTGAAAAAATGTGTCTTCCAATTCCACAATTTTGATTCTTTTCAATCATGTTGGGAATGGATGGAAAGAAGTTATATTTCTCAAGGATTCATGGTGAACATTTATTGTAATGCAGTATATATAACTTGGAAATCAAGGACAAGATGGTTCACGGTGGAAAGGAGGATAGTTCAGTTTATCTAGCTTCTTATGCTATAATCTTGGCTTCTATGTCTTTCATGGCTGAAAGAAAATTGGGAAACTGGGGTACGAATTAGTCTTTTGAACTGTTATATTATTGGTACCCTCCTCCTCCCAACTGGATTAAGATTAATGTGGATGCATCTTTACTAAAATCTCACAAAGATGGCATTGGTGGAGTGGTTCGAGATAGTAAAGGTAGAATGCTTTTGGCTTATGGTCATTCATGTATCCATTGGGAAAATACAAGGTTTGAACTATTTTTGGTTCAGTTCATTAAGGAGATAAAAAGGGATTGGATGCTTGATTATCAAGGTATAATTATAGAGGGAGAAAATCTCAATGTAATCAAATTCTTGCAAGGGATGGAAGGTAAGTGGAAAGATGAACTTCTTTATTTAGAAGATCATAAATTCATTATTTTCAATTGGGTTAATAGGCGAGGTAATAAGCTAGCTAATTTATGTGCTAGCTATGCCATTTTTTCAGATTTCTATTGGGAAGATTTTTCTTTGAATAAGATTCCTTTATTATTTAGCGATTTGCTAAAGAAGGAATCTAGTTTGTAAGTAGTTTTTCTTTCAATAATATATTTTAGGCTTGTGCTTCTTTAAAAAAAAAGAGTAACCAAGTAAACCCTTCACGCTCCAACAGTAAGAAATCTCCTTCAAACACTCTCTCTTACTATCTCCTTTAAATTTCCATTTAGTATTTACAAAGGCCAAGTGACAAAAAGATTGCATGATAATCTTAAGTGAACCTTTTCTAGAAAAGACATGAAAAACCATCCAGAAAATTGTATTTTTCAAATATGTACATTCACAATCATCCCTTATGATTGAATTTTGTATGTATGAACAGTATACAAACTGTTGCATATGATCTCAAATTGAATCAGTATAAAATGCCTTCATACCCGATCATCATCTCGTACGAACTGGGTTCATCCGGTACAAATAGTTATTTTTCAAAGTTTATTAGCACGAAAGTTAGGATGAAATATAAGTTTACATAATAGAGCCCTTCATCCTAAATGAAAATTTCATCTGGATGAATAGTTCATTTGGCAAATCCAGAGCCATTGTCCTCGGACAAATGATAAAAATCATCTAGACGAACAGAGTGATTGGAAAATCCCGAGAAGATTGTCCTGGGATGAATGATAAAAATCATCTGGATGAACAGAGCAATTGGAAAATCTCAAGGATAGCATCCTGGGATCAATGATAAAAATTGTCTAGACGAACAGAGCAATTGGCAAATCCCGAGGAGATCATCCTAGGACGAATGATAAAAATCATCTGGATGAATAGTGCAATTAGAAAATCCCGAGGAGATCATCTTGGGACAAATGATAAAAATCATCTGGACGATTAGTACTTAGAAAAAATTTTTCCCTCTCTATTTATTCTATTGCTCATTTGGGAGTTTAACTAACAATATCGTCCTGTATGAATATGGTTCGTACTGTACGATCAATTTAAAAATTGTGAATTTTAATACTCGTCCCCATGTGTGTGTGTGCTTAGTTACTCAATTACAATCACACTCTCTCAGACTAAATAAAATAAAAAATACAGACTTCAATTAACAAAACAATAAAGCTGATCTTGATTTGAAGTCTTCAATAATCTGGAGTATGATTTCCCTTAAATGTTAGTACACACAAGAGAAAAAATTCTTCCAAAATATGTTACGAGAAAATAATAATCAAGTTACAAGAATGTAAAACATGCAAAGCTAAGTAACATCTCTCTCAATAGTACTACTTAAAGCTTAAGAAAACCCTTGATATTTTTGATACTTGAGCTTGAAAATTATAATTCCTGATTCACCAATTTTTGCATTGATCTTCTATTAGATAGGTTTTATGAAAGGAATTTTAAAAAAAATAGTGTTTCATTTTCTAATTTGTTCATTGATATAGATATTTGATTAAAAAGTTTTTGAGCCTTTAAAAGAACTTGAGCTTGGAGTAATAATTTCTAAATTTCTAACCTTTTCTAGATTATGCGTTGTCAATATATTCCTTACTAAGTTTTTAAATAAAATCAGGAGGTAACTTTATCATTTTAAAGACTTTTTTATCAAAGTTCATTTTGTTTATTTGTGCCCCTTCACTTTTTGATAATGTCAAAGGGGGAGAACGTACTATTTTATTTGTATTTTTTTGTAACTTTTTTTTTTCAAAAAAATAAAAACAACAAAAAATTTGATTTCTCCTAATTTTTATTTTTTTATTCTAGTTAGGGGAAGATTAGGAGAAAATG